TTTATTTTTTTTTACTGTTGAGGTATTTAATGAATGTGGAATATTTTTTTACAAATGGGCTGAGGTTGGATCTGATTTTTTCTGAATAGCCAATTGTCCTAGTCAGCAAAGATTGTTTCATTGTTTTGATTGTACTTATTATAGGCACAGTCTTTTTAAAAAATCAATAAATAGAACTGATACTGATTAGAAGAATTAGGAATTAGTGTATATTTTCCAAAGTGACTTTATTGCATCACTCTTTCAGAGAATTATATTTCTCTTGATATATGTCATCTTTCAAAGTTGATAACAACTATAGTAGTGAGATGGTACTAAGAAAATCTCTCTGATTTCTGAATTTGTTTTTTAACTAGGGAAGTACACAGACAGATGCCATGAAACTTCTGTCTTCCCAGTCTTTGAGGCTTTTAAAGAACAAAGCGTTATTGTGTAAACCCGTCACACAGACCAAGGCCACCTCTTGCAAACCACATACACAGCACAAGGAATGTCAGACAGGTATGTGTTGTTCTTTCACATGTAGTAAGTTTGTTTTCTGTTTTGTGTGTTTGCTTTTGTTTTTCTTAAGAAAGGAAAAGTCATTGACACTTTCTTAAATGTGAAAACATTGATTATTTCTTGGATCACATACTTTAACTTCTAATTTATTCCTTTTATGTTTATTGTCACTAACACTAATAACTACCAAATTGAATCCATATGCACACAGAGCATTATGTGCAGAGTGGACAAGCATCTTCTATATGTGCACATTGCATTTCAAGTGTATAGATAAGCCATTATAATCACTAAGATACAAATTTAGTTAAAAGCATTAGTGGTTTAACCTTGGTTCTTTTTTTTAAACACTGTAAATTGATTTACTTAAAGTATAACTATATGTCTTATCAGGAAAGTTATTTGAATTCACACTTGAAAATGTTGTACACTGTTTTCCCCAATCTATGTTAACTGCTTTTAATCCCACTGTCTTTATATTTTCAATTGCTTTTATAGCCTACTCTGCCTAAAACATTATTTTGTTTTTAATGATAATTTTACTTTACAGAATATACTTTACTTAAAAGCTTAGTCTGTCAACAACTAATCATGAGTTTTTATGTAGGATGCCTTTCTTTTGGTAGGAGTCAAGGAGAAGCCTGTTTTCCTTCCTTAGTAAATTTGATTGTTTTATATTCCTGTTAAAATGATACACTCTCTGTGTACATGAATTTATATTATATACACATTCACATGTGGAAGGTAGTAAGGGATGTGTGGTTATCTATATATGTGGGTATGTGTATGCTTATATATTTTTAAAAAATTTCTGGATTAACTATTAGGATGTTTTCTGTACACTGTTGTAAGCTACATTTTCATTTGACATCGCATGAAAACATTATTCCACATCAACATAAATTTAAATATACATTGAGAATCTTAATGGATGCATAGATTCCAGTGTATATACTGTATGGATATATATAATCTCCTCCTAAGATTGAACATTTAGATTGCTTCTAGTTTTTTAATATTATAAACAGTATTGAGTTTAGCTGTGTGAATGGTCTTTGTCCATTTGTCTAATTATGTCCTTAGAATAAATCCTAAGTAGTGGAATTATTGATTCAAAAGCTGTCATAGATTTTTAAGGCTTAGATTTTGATATGTATTGTGAAATTGCTCTCCTGAAAAGCTGTATCAATTTATGCTCCAGCCAGCAATGTTTAAAAGTATCCATTTCTCTACACCTTCATTGACATTGGGTATTAAAATTATTAATAACTAACTTCCTTTCCCCTAACTTTAATTTTGAAAAGTTTCAAAATTCAGAAAGATAGAAAATAAAGCACAGTGAATACCCTTGAATGAATATACACATGAATATACCATTCATTTAGATTCACCGAATGTTAACTTTTTACAACATTTTTTCTCTCACCTTTTTCCTCTGAACTTTAAAAAGAAATAGTTTATCCTTAATGTAGTGTATTCTGTGGACATCAGTCCTAATTCCACTAATCTATTGAATACATGGCATTGCTGGTACACGTACCACAGCCTGTAGTTTTACTGCCGTCAGTGACCAAGCTTTGGGCAAAGGAGAAATTCGGTTTTTAACGGCATCATGGAAGTATTATGGTTTGTGTTTAAATCTTAAGTAGTGTATGCTTTTGACAAATATAAATAGTAACAAAATATAAATTTTAAATGTGTGGGGGAAAAACATAAAGAACATTCTTATTTGTTTTTAAACATAACAGTGATTCAAATATTTCATTCAGATTTATCTATGCCTAATGAGAAAAATGATGCGGAACTTGATTCTCCACCTGCAAAGAAAAAAAGAATAGGTTTTTTCCAGACTTATGATGCGGAATATTTAAAAGTTGGTTTTATTATCTATCCCGGATCAAAAGAAAGTTCACCAAGGCCACAGTGTGTCATTTGTGGAGAAATTTTATCCAGTGAAAACATGAAGCCAGCAAATCTCTCTCATCATTTGAAGACAAAGCATTCAGAATTAGAAAACAATCCAGTAGATTTTTTTGAACAAAAATCTCTTGAAATGGAATGTCAAAACAGTGCTTTAAAAAAGTGTTTACTAGTTGAAAAGTCACTTGTGAAAGCTTCTTATTTAATTGCTTTCCAAATTGCTGCCAGCAAAAAGCCATTTTCCATAGCTGAAGAATTAATTAAACCATATTTAGTAGAAATGTGTTCAGAAGTTTTGGGTTCAAGTGCTGGAGACAAAATGAAAACCATTGCTCTTTCAAATAATACAATTGGGCACAGGATTGATGAACTATCTGCAGACATTGAAGATCAGCTGATTCAAAAAGTCAGAGAGTCAAAGTGGTTTGCCCTTCAAATAGATGAGTCATCAGAAATCTCAAACACCACCCTTCTTTTGTGCTATATTCGTTTCATTGATTATGGTTGTAGTGACATAAAAGAAGAATTATTATGTTGCATTGAAATGCCTTCTCAAATGACTGATTTTGACGTATTTGAAGTAATAAATAAATATATTGATAGTAAATCTCTGAATTGGAAGCATTGTGTTGGTCTCTGTACAGATGGGGCTGCAAGCATGACTGGTAGGTGTTCTGGTTTACAGGCAAAAATTCAAGAAGTTGCCATGAATACAGTGGCATTTACACATTGTTTTATTCACCGTGAACATTTAGCAGCAGAAAAATTGTCTCCATGCTTACATGAAATTCTTCTGCAGTCAGCACAAATTTTAAGTTTTATAAAGAGCAATGCTTTGAATTCACGTATGTTAACCATTTTATGTGAAGAGATGGGGTCTGAGCATGTGAATTTACCACTTCGTGCTGAAGTACGTTGGATATCGAGAGGGAGAATTTTAACAAGATTATTTCAGTTGCGGCATGAAATTGAAATATTTTTAAATCAAAAGCATTCAGATTTGGCCAAGTGTTTTTTTGATGAGGAATGGGTTGCAAAGTTGGCCTATTTATCAGATATTTTTTCACTTATAAATGAACTAAATTTAAGTCTCCAAGGAACTATGACTACTCTCTTCAATTTGTATAATAAAATCGATGTGCTTAAAGAAAAGTTAAAAATGTGGTTGAAGCGCACACAGGAGAATGATTATGACATGTTCCCTTCGTTTTCTGAAATCTCAAACTCATCAGGCTTAAATATGAGAAGTATTACAAGCATTATTTTTGAACACCTGGAAGGACTTTCTCAAATGTTCAATGACTGTTATCCACCAGAAGAAGACTTGCGTTCAGGAAACTTGTGGATAATTAATCCTTTTATCAATCACCAAAATAGTAATCTCACGGACTTTGAAGAAGAAAAATTAGCACAGTTGTCTTCAGATTTAGGATTACAATCAGCATTTAAATCAATGTCTGTAACTCAGTTTTGGATAAATGCAAAGGCAAGTTACCCAGAACTCCATGAAAAGGCAATGAAATTTTTATTGCCTTTTTCAACTATTTATTTATGTGATGCTACATTTTCAGCTTTGACTGAGTCAAAACAAAGAAATCTGTTGGTTTCTGGCCCTGTCCTAAGACTTGCAGTCACATCTTTAATTCCGAGGATAGAAAAATTAGTAAAGGAGAAGGAATAGTAACATGCATATTGCTTATTATCAAAGTCTATAATTTTGTGTTAAATTTTGTATGAGATAATTATCCTAAAATATAATTTCCTAATGTGGATATGTGTTTTTGGTGATTAAATAAGTGTTTTAATAATTTTTCTCTTTTTGTTGAGGAATTTAATAATTATGCATTTATACATAATTATATATAACTTTAATGGTCCAAGGTAGCAAATTTAGCTATTTTATTGATTGATCAAATAATTTGGATTAGCAACAGAGATGTAGGTAATGAAAGGCCCTATTCATAATGTAATAGCTAGCACACCTGAGTGTTGAAACTGCTTGGCCTCTAGAAGCACATGGGACATTTCAGTCTTCAGCCAGCCAGCTACCTGCCCAGCAGGTTGTGGGTAGATAAAAAGAGATCCTAGCAGCTTGGCTAATGGGAAATGGAAGCAGCAGGAGAGTTTGAGACCCATGTTAGGGGCCTCTCTGGCTCTCTAGACCAGGGCTTGGCAAACCTTTCTCATAAAAGGCCGGGTAGTGAATGTTTTAGGCTTTGCAGACCATAAGGTGGGAATTACTCAGTTCTGCCATTGCAGCACAAAAGCAGCTGTAGACAATACACAGACAAGTAAGTGTGGCTGTGTTTCAATAAAATTACTTGTTTATGGACACTGAAACATCAATTTCATATACTTTTTATGTGTCATGAAAGCTGCCTGAAACATTTTTTACCATTAAAAAATGTAAACACACAAACATTGTTAGCTGGGGGAGGAGGGAGTTAAAAAAATTTTGTCATAGTTTACTCCTCCAGGTCTAGATAGATTCCCCGGTAAAGGCAGATGGGCCGGGCATGGCCTGTAGGGTTTTCAGTGAGAGCGTCCCTACCCACGTGGGGCTGCAAGTATCTGAATATTCAAACACCTTTCACATTTTAACTTCAGCTGAGGGATATTAAAGAGAAAATATATTTCAGGCAATGATAGAAAAGAACTATTTTATAATTACTAGTTATTGATTTGTTTCTAGTAATTTCATATTTACTAATTTACAAATAACTCTTTGAGCTCTTGCATGTGCCAGGCATTGCACTAGGCCTGCGACAGGCCCAGAACTGATACTGCATTATCCCTATTTACAGATGCAGACAGTGAGGCCCACTGAGGTTAGGTGATAGCTCAGACCGCCAAGCTAGTGTGGCATGGGCAGGAACGACCACCCCTGGCCCCCGGTCTTTTGGTCATAACGGAGCTCTTCTGCAAGCCACGTCCGGATACCCATGTTTGATTTTACTCTGTCCGTATTGGCTGGGAGACTTCCCTGAATTCAGGTGGGGGCCGTTTAGTCAGTTAAGAGCAAGTGGGACTCAGTGTCCCCATCTGTGAGATGGGGATGCCCCGCCCAAACGCGGTCTCCTCCCCAAGCCGGTGCTGAGCCAAAAGACAGGCAACCTCCGGGAGAGGCGAGGAAGGGAGGCTGTGGCGCAGGTCTTCCGGCCGCCCCGGGAGGGAGGAAACGGACGGGCGGCGGGGGGGCGGGTTTTTGGCGGGACCTACCCTGGGGCGGGCGCGTCCCGGGCGGCCTGCGCGGCCATGGCGCTCCCGCTCGCAGCTGTGCGCGTCCTGCTGGGCGGCTTCTTCGCGCTCACGGGGGGCGGCCAAACTCTCGCCGCAGATCTCGGCTCCGGTGTCGGAGCAGATGGTGAGCGGCGCGGCGTGGGCGGCGGGCGGGCGGACGGGCGGGGGAGCGGCGGCGTGGCGGCGGCGGGCGCTGCGACCCCGGCCGGCCGTTACCCCGGCGCCCCGCGAACCCGCCTGCCTCAGGGGGAGAGCACATGGGCCGCGACTTAGACGTCGGCCCCTGCCCGGGGAGTCCCCCTGCGGTGTCCGGGTTTTCCGTGGAAGCGGACGGGCACTTCCCCTTCGAGCGGAGCGTTAGTGGCCCCAGGCACATCTGGAGCACATTCTAGAGAAATGCTCCAGAAACCTAGGGGAGGGTGAGGGACCAAACTCCGTCCTTCCCTCTCCGCCTTCCTTTGTTTGCTCGAGGTTCGTGAGGCAGGGGCTTACTAATTCCCACTTGGCAGGGTAGGAAACTCGCCCTGAAAGTGAAGTGAATGTGCTGAAGGTTACACAGCTAGTCAGGAAGCTGTAGGCAAACTTTAGACATTCTCCAAACTTAGAAACCGGAGAGCCCTTCCCGTGGAGCCTGAGAGGGAGGCCTTCAGCCTCCTATCTAGTTCCAGACTCTCGGCAAAGCTTTCAGGTCTTTATGCTCACCAGTCAGCCAAGCCCCTCAAACCAGACTTCAAGACCTCTGCCACCCTCCTCCTCCCAGGCCTGGTTTCTCCCTCCTCTTTCCTGTCTTAGGGTGGTGGGTTGTCTGGGGAAGTACATCCTCAGAGCCAGACAACTTCGAGTGAGTTTCTTCCTTGTAGCCCTGAGTAGGGGAGGTAGAGTTGAGGTGGGGGAGCAGGAAAAGGTAGCCAGCCTGAAGGTCGTGGTGAAGTTGTTATATGGCCCAGGACAGAGTCTGACTCAGTGAGATGAGTCACTCACTGACCCCCTCAACTTGCCTTGTGTCTACTCCAATGAGATCCAGGTACCAGCACGTGATATTAAGTGGAATCTGTTTAATGAACAACAGTCTCCCCTTCCAACCTCTTCCTCACCTCCAAATATTCCCTGCGTAGTAGTCTGAAGAGAAACCAGGCCAGGCAGAAAGAAGGAGAAGCTGTGGAGTTCCCAAGGCCTTGGTACTAGATGAGAAGGCCCAAGCCTAGCTTCCTCTTCCTGGAATTTGGGGCTGGGTTGTAATCTGATGAGAGTGGTGAGAAAATCAGTCCATCTCTGTACCACCATCCTGCCCTTGTCCTTGGAGCATAAAGCCTATTTCCTGATTCCAAAGCTCAGCCCCCCAGGGAGGCCCCCTCCTTTCCAGACTGACTGACCTCAGCCCCAGACCTGACCTAGGACAGTAGCTCCTTTGCTGGGGGAGTGGAGGGCACTGGCACAGAACGCCCCTGTGGAGCACCTGGGCAGTGGGTCCTCAGTGAGCGTGGCTGACAGACGTTCCCTGCTGCCCCTAGAAAGCCCTGTTCGAGCAGTTCGCTGAGGTGTTCCCGTTGAAGGTGTTCGGCTACCAGCCAGATCCCATAAGCTACCAAGCAGCTGTGGGCTGGCTGGAACTGTTGGCTGGGTTGCTGCTGGTCCTGGGCCCACCGATCCTACAAGAGATCAGTAACTTGCTTTTGACTCTGCTCATGTTGGGTAAGGGGGGTGCAACTGGGCTGGTGAAATGGAGGCCTCTGGGGGGAGGGTTATGGAAAGATCTGGCTGTTCTCTTTACTGCTGCCACCCTTTTTCTCTGGAACCAGAAGCATTTCTTGCTCTACTGCAGTTTCCACGATCTTCAGACTAGGACAGGTGCTTTTTAAACTTAATATACTATAACACTCTTCTGTGTCAACTCTTCCTTCTACGTCATCAGTTCTGTTGGCTGCATGGTATTCCATTGTAAGGGTATATTGTAACCTAAAAGCCCCTAACCCCTTTCTCTTCACCCCTACCCGGAGATGAGGGGATGGAGTAGCAGCTGCCACTGGACTCATGTGTCTGGCAGGTGGGAACAGAAGAGCAAGGAAGCTGGGCCCCCTGAACAGAAAGGCAGAGAATTTCCCTGGGCAGGCGTTCCTAGAGGGCCCCCTCATAGCAGCTCTGCCCACAGGAACTGCTGATGTACGAAGACAGCTGCTGCTTCAAAGGCCAGGTATCTTCAGGCTCTTCTATATTCCCTAGCCTGTGTCACCACTGCCGCCGCCACTACCACCCTTCTTCCTGGCTCTCTTTCCATCTCTGCAGCCTCCCTCATTTTCAGGTCCTTCCTACACCTCCACAACCAACCCCTGGGCCTCCTTCCCTCCACAGGATTATGAAAGGAGAAGGGTCAGGGAGAACTTGTTCCAAAATGCCCGTCTACCCACCTCCCTGCCTTGTTTGGTTGGATTGTTCCTATTTCTTGACGTCTGAGAGGGGCTATATTCAAGAAACTTCTGATTTCTGGTTCTGCTCTCTCTGGGAGGCCAGGGAGCTGACTAGTTTAGGGTGTGTGTGTGTGTGGCTGGGGGCTGTTTGTGACAGGGCTTAAGCTGGAGTGGGTCAGCCTTGGCTGGAGGGCTCTGAGTTCCTAAATCCTCTGGGCACCCCCAGGGAGCCTCAGAGACCTCATTTTCCATTCCAGGGGCTATCTTCACTTTGGCATCTCTGAAAGAGTCACTGATCACCTGCATCCCAGCCATCGTCTGCCTGGGGCTCCTTCTTCTGCTGGGTAACTGCTAGCTCTTAGTCCAAACTGAGAAGGTGGTAAAACCCACTAGGAAGAAGTCTCCAAGTACACTCAAGGGATCCTGAGAGTAGAGTGTCTCTTGCCTCTTCATGCCATCTCACTGTCAAAGCAGGAATGTGGTGGGACACAGCCTGCCACCTTGTTGCCAGTGTAAGATTGGGCATTGTTGAAGTAGACATCTGGTCTACTTGGCCCTGCTTTCCCTCTTGGACATTTACTGTTCTTTTTTGAGGGGTACATGTAACATGCTCTAGCATTCCTCGTGTTATGTGAAAATAGAAAATAAATTTAAATCACCCCAAATTTTAATGCCCCCAAATAACTGCTTTCAATTCCTTTGTATAACTGTACCTCCCAACTTTTTTCTGTGCTTTCATACAGAGTTTTTTTTTAATGAAAATGAGACTATATATACTACTTTATTTCCTACTTTTTAAACCAAATACACTGAAACATCATTCCATGTCTATTTTACCTCATTGATGTTAATGGCTGTGTAATATTCCATTGCAAGGATGTACTGTAATGTATTGATACAAGCCCCTACTGAGGAACATTTGCATTATTCCCAACTTTTGGCTATTGTAAACCTCACAGTAAGTCACCTTCACAAACTTACTTTCTTTCCTTAGAAGTGAGGGTGCTGATTCAAAAGGCATGTACATTTTTAAGGTTTTTATTACATGCTTAGAATTTATACATTGAGTATAGCTGTTTCTGCCTGTACCCTTCCAAGCCATGAGTTATTCCTTCCCATTCCTTTTTATTGTGCACTTTAGAGTTGCAGAGCTAACAAAGATGGGCATTAAGTCATCGTTTTACAGGACCTGAAACTGCCAGGGCACTCAGTGCAGTGCTTCTTGGACACCTACATCTCCAGGGGACAGCCAGCTCCAACGGATGCTGCATGTTAAATTAGCAGTGCCGAAAACCTAGGATGAATTGCAGAGGTCCTAGGGAGTCAAAGGTGTGTATGGGGGAGGAGAGGGGAAACACAATTCTCGAGGGAAAATGACATATTAGGGTACCTACTATCACATCACCAACCATCTTCCCCTCAGTGGGGTCTTTTGGGAAGTGATGTGCCTCCCATAAGGGAAAATAGTAAAGAAAAAGAATTCATTTATTTATGCAAATACTCTAGCCACCAGACTACAGATTGCTTTGAGGGGTAGGGGCAATGGCTTTTGAGAGCCCACAGGAGTGAAAGAAGTCTATATGTATTACTCCATTTCATCCTCACCATAGAATGGTAGTTTCTGCTCTGTCACTGACCCCCAGACAAGTTGGCTCTCTTAGGTCTTCTTGTGCCTGAGAGCACGGTGATGCAATCTATATAGTAAATGTGTGTGTATATGTATATTAATATATTATTTCTGTAGTAGTATATGTATACTACATATACAGAGTGTCAAAACAATAAGGAAACTTCTCTCACATAAGAGGTCCAGAGACAACATAGCTTCAGTTTCAATGTTGAGTATTTGGACTGCTTCACGATAACATCAAAGACTGATAGTTTTTCAACTTTGTGCTCTGCTGCTTTCAATTTATTGACTACTGCTCTCAGGGTCACAAAATAGCTGCAGCAGCTCTAGGCAGCACATTTGCACATAATATCCAAAGGTGAATAGAGGGAAGAAAGCTCTCTTAGAAGACCCTTAGATTTTTCCCCTGCTATTCCACTGGCCAGAAATATGTCACATTTCCATTCCTAGACCAGTCACTGGCAAGGATTACGTAATGCTCATGATGGACTTAGACTAATTAAGATTTACCCACACTGGTCAAATGGTCAGCAAAGAAGGGAAAGAGTGTTACTGAACCAAACTTGGGTCTGCTTTCCCACATAGTTAGTTGCCTCCATTTGGTGGTGATCTTAGCATCTGAAAAACAACTCAGGAACTGTGCATCAGATACTGTTGTTCAGGTACTTCAGAGAGGAGCTAAAGTAGAGGATATAGGGGAGAAGTCTGTCCTGAGAAGGCCCCTTAGGGTCCTGCTCAGTTACAAGAGTAGATAATGTCACTTGCAAAATATGGATAATAATGGCTAATATTTCACAGAGTTGCTATGAGGATTTAGTGAGTTAAAGTGCTTATAGTAGGACCTGGTACATAATAAGTGCTCAGTAAATACTGTTATTAAATAGCATTTGTTATTAAGTGGCAGTTTGTTCTACAGATGAGAAAATGGACTCAGAAAGCTTAAGGGCCTATGTGTCAGACCTGAGACTAGAATTAAGGCCTGATTGACTCCAGAACCCACACTCTCCTCTGTACCAGCTGCCAAAGTTGAAATTGGGCAGGCACGGCACCCCTGCTCTCTTCAGCTTGAAGGTAGATGGGATGATGGGTCCAATGTCATTAAATCTGCACTGCTTCCCAGAATTGCTCCTCTGCATGAAGAATTTGAAACCTTTTAAAGTAGAGCCGGGAGACCCTAGGATCCTGGCCCCTTACCATCTCTATCCCTTCCAGGATTCCACTGCCAGCCTGTCTCCAACCAGGACTTTGAGTAAAACCTCTCACAGCTGGCATTAGATCGAGGGCCCCTGTTTACCAAGGCTTGGGCTGTAATCTGATTAGCAGCCACAGGGCCCCGGAGCTTGGTTGTGGGGCCTGCCCAGCAGCTGCAGGAAGGGCAGGGTGCTGGAGGAGTAGGCCGGCCAGCTGGTATGGAGGAGCAGTTGGGATTGACAGCAGCAGGAGTATCTTCAGCTCCAGCCGTGACTCCTCAGCCCAAGAAGAAGCCAGGCCTTAGGAAACGGCCCCCCAAACCACAGCCTAAACCTTGGTCAGGTCTGCACAATGACATTCAGCTGTGAGGCTTTCCTTATACTTTTCTATCTCCCTCCCTGGGCCCCTGCCTTGCAATGACACTCCTCTTGGGACCCTGGCTGCACCCCACAAACCCAGCTCACCGCTGCCACAGGTGGATGCCAGCTCCTCCAGCTGTTGTGCCCATTCTTCATGTCATGTCCTGGGATTAGTCATTTGATGGGAGGGTCTAGGATGTGTGGGTGGGAGTGGATTCTGCTCTGTCTCAGTGCCTAAAAGCCAGGCCCCCAGGGCCCCAGAGAAAGCTGTAGCAGCCAGAACAGCAGGAGGTAAGAGGAATGATCTGGTGGGATGGCAAGGAGAGGTTCAGGGTGGGGCAGATGGGGGCTAGAGCCATGGTGGACAGACAGAACTGAGAGGGAAGGGGAGAAGGGAATACAGTCACTCAGGGTCCCAGAAAGGATTGGAACCTGAGAGGTTCAAAGGCAGAAGGACAGATTTTGGTATTGGAGGAACCAAGTTTTGGGGCACACTAGGAGTATGACTAGGGAGTCAAAAATAGTAACAGGACATTGGCTTGTGTGCTTACCCCACCTTGGGAGAGGGGTGGATATGCCCAGATGTCTTTGTGCTATTTTGTTTGATTGGGGTTTCTGTGTCTAATGCTGTATGTGTGCCTGTGTGGGCGTACGCATTTATCTGTGTGCTGCCTAGAGGGGAAGGGAGCTAATGGTTATGAAGTTTCTCCCCAGTGTCAGCCAGTGCTCAGAGTTTTACTTATGTTTTCTCATAATCCTCCCAACAACCCTGTGAGGTAGGTATTTTAATCTCCATTTTACAGCAGAGAAGACAGGATCAGTGAAGCTGAGTAATTTGCCTAAGGTCACATGGCAGATAAATGTGTGTATCTAGAATCTGCCTGATTCCCAGGCTGGGCTTTCTTTGCTTTGCTGTCTGAAGTTTCAAATCAGACCCAGGACTTCTTCGTGGTCAAAAGGTGAGGGGGAAGGAAAACAGGCTGGAAGGCCTGAAAGATGTGAAACCTTTTCAGCCCTGTCCAAGGTGGTCCCGGCAAGCCCCAGGAGAGGACCTTCACCAAGGCAAGTGCAAGTCACTGTGCATGGGCCTGTCCTCTGGGTCACTGCATCCTAAGACCGTAACTCCATCCATGCCTGCTGTCCCTTCCACTGATCTGGATGGCACGTGGAGCAGGGAGTCCTCTGCTTTTTCTGGGAAGGACTCTATATTCCAGCCTGATTTCTCCGTAACTCCCTGTTGGCTCAGCCTTGCTTGGGCTTACTGTATATGCCTGTGCCCCACAAGTCTACCATACTCCATCTGTGAGGGGCACTTCCACTCTCCCAATCACCAAGGTTGTAAATTTCCAAGCTCACTGGGATTCCTGCCTCTTCCTCATTTCCCACATCTTGTCACCAAACCCATTCTGCTTCAACTCTCGAATCCCCCTCCTTTCCATCCCCAGCAGGTGCTGGCTGCACTGGCTCCTCAGCCCCGCAGTGGGCTTCCTTGCTTCTAGTCTCTTCCCCCCCCGGACTGAGGAAGAGGGGGCTGGGGTCGGCAGGGAAAGGCGGGATGGAGACCTTCTTGTGTGGCTTAGCCTCCACGGTGACTGCTCTTCGTCTCGCTAGTCCAAGGTCCGAGATGAACAGCAGCGCTGGGGACCTGGGTGTTGGCGGCTGCAGCCCCTGGGATGACCCTGCTCGCTTCATCGTGGTGCCAGCGGCCTACGCCTTGGCACTCGGCCTCGGGCTGCCAGCCAACCTGGCGGCCCTGGCAGTGTTCGTCCGCAGCGGCAGGCGCCTGGGCCAGGCCCTGCGTCTCTACCTGCTCAACCTGGCGCTGGCCGACGTGCTCTTCACGCTCACGCTGCCGCTGTGGCTC